ATACAATACAGTATTAACAGTAGGCACTATGCTGTGCAGTAGATCTCTAGGACTTGTATAACCAAGACTTTATACTCTGATCAGAATCTCTCCATTTCTCCCTCCCACCAGCTCGTGGCAACCACCATTCTGCTCTCTGCTTCTGTAAGTTTGACAATTTTAGATTCCTCATGTAAGAGTACCATGAAGTGTTTGTCCTTCTATGTCTGGCTAATTTCACTCAGTATGTCCTCCAGGTTTATCCATGTTGTCCCAAATGGCAGGATTTCCTTCCTATTCCATTGTATGTATAGACCAGATTTTCTTTATCCACTCATCCAACAAGGGACACTTAGGTTGCTTCCAAGAACCACAGGTGACTGTCACAATGAGAGTCAAGTTTAAGAAACAGTACTCTGTAGTCAGATCACATAGCATGGCAACTTATTCCTAGCAAAATACAATCTAGAATGGCTGATGGTAATTAAATCCTGACCAAGGCAAGGGAAAGGCCTTCCAGCCACAATGCCCCTCGGAATAGCTGAGCACCCTGGCTCCATTTCCATATCTATGATGACTGCTGCCCTCTGAAGCAGCATGAGCTCCTGGCCCAAACTGGTCCAGCCTAATTGTTAACCTTGCAATTTTCCAGGAGACTGAAATAATTTAGGTGAGATTAAACAACAACATATGCAAACAAAATAATCAGAAAAACAGCACAGTTGAGCTTTAAAGAAAGTGAGAGTTGAGATTCTGAACAACTGTCTATAGCTTTTAATTGCTGGCTCACTGTTCAGTCCAACAAATACGAATCGAGTGACTACTAAGTGCCAGGATGCAGACATCACAGAGTAAGACAAAGACGCTTAAAATCCATGTGAGAAGTTATAAGCATGGTACCATGGAAACACAGAGGAAAGGCATCTGAGCACTCAGTGGGGTAATGCTTTCTAGACAAAGCGACACCTATTTGTAAAACTCAAGGGAAAATAGCTCTCTGAGAAAAGTTCAATGTCTCATTTCCAATCACAGGTAGTGTAAAGCACTGGCTTTCAAACTGTGCTTCCCAAACCAGGATTTGGGTAGATGGAGAATTGGACCAAATAATAGGGCAGGTGCTCCTATTTTCTCTTCAATCTGAGCTCATATTCTCCATTTTATCTATTTTATAATTTGGCTCTTTTGGAAATATTTTACTGAAGAATACTTTTTATTAAAAACAACTAGAAGTATTTATCACTAGAAGGTAAGCTCCAAGAAAGCTGGGATTTCTTGGTCTGTTTTGTTTACTGCTGTACCTCCAGGGGATAGAATAGCCATATAAAGTAGGGAACCAATGAACCATTTCAACTTTCAAGCAATATTTACTGAGCCAGGCACTGATCCATGCCAGGCACTAATCTAGATGTGGGGATATAACAGTGAACAATGGGCTCAAATTCCTGTCCTCACGGAGCTGACATTCTAGTGATTAATATTTCATGACAGGCACTGGGCTAGGCAATTTAAGACATATCTCATTCATCTTTCTAACCCTATGAAATGGTTATCATTAATTTTCCTCCCCATTCTTTTTTTTTAAACAGAAAAATTTAAATAACTTGCCCCAAATCACACACCTAACCAGATGGCAGAACTTGGATTGAACCCAGTTAGGTCTGACTTCAAAATAGTGCTTTTTCCATCAAATAGGTTGTTTCTCAAATAAAGGCCACTGGAAAACTGAACATACACTATTTAGATCAATTCATAAAGTAATACATTAAGCACAGGGCCATAAATAACAAATATTGTGAGACTGTTCATTGCAATGATTGTATTACACCCATCTGGGTCTCTAGAACCTTGCCTGGACCATAGAGAGCTTAATCCAGAGGCAGTATCACTTTCTGATCTCTGTATTACGACTTCCTCCAGCTTGTCCCAAAGTCCATTGGGATACCAGCTGCACTCTCATATACCATGGTAAATACATCAAACTGGTGTCTGACTCAGGCAGGGCTCTGTGGTTCACCTTCTCCACCTGTTCTCAATTCCAAAGCAAAAAGAAATCAGAGATAACAAGGAAGCATCACCTTAGAAGAAAAGTCAAGGGGAGGGGTGGATTATGTATAAATCTGCTTTGGCTATAGAAATTTGGATGGTTTATACTTCAACTGCAAGGCCTATGAAGTCTATTTTGAAAGTACAGACCAAAACTACTGTTGATGCAAATGTACATCTCTACACTCTGTGGAGTTCAATAACCATTTAGAAACTAAATTGACAAAACACGAAGCTAAGGAATATTGTCAAAATGCAACAGTAAGAATAGCAGCAATCGAAAACCATAGCTAATTCAAGGCAACACTGACAAAGTGGCCTTCCCTCTCAACTATAGGAATTCTAGTTATCTACATACGCACGTTAGAGTATTTGCCATTAAATACTACAGTCAAGCCAGAGGTAGTAGAATACTGGTCCAGTGTTCAGTAAACACTATTAAGGTGCTAATTTTAATTTGTAAATACCCAATTTTAGTACCTTTAATTGTTCTTAGGCTGCCAGGAGCCAGCCCATATCTGTAGGTGAAACTGCCTGTCACATTCTAAGAACAAAGGAAAAACTTAGATTTAATTTAATCTGCTGTGGCTCATTTGGGGCCTGGAGGCTCTACTTTGAGAATAACTTTCGTTAACAGTGGATACAGCAGGAACGTCAGCATTCAGGGAACCTACACTCAAATTCAAAGCGGTAGAGCAAATCACGGGGAAGTCACTTAGCTTCTCCATCTATAAAATGAATATTTTGCTATATTCCTACCTAACTGTAAGATTTACAAATTATTATATAAAATGCCTAGCACACAGGCTCTGAAAAAGTGGTTGTGAAATAAAGCATAGACTGTTTATTCTGCAGAGATGAAGTCTACAGTATGAACTGCTTTCTACAGGTCCTCAGAAATCATTTGAAACAAGTAGATTTCAAAATAGGCACTTGATCTGCCCAACGCAAATCTTCATGACAGAAAAATCAGAAGGCCTGATCAAAGGTATTCTTAGGAATAAGAGGAGAACAAGAGTCCAAGGTAGCTTTTGGGTTACCTTAGAAAGGAAGCCAGGAACTGCAGAGAGGACAGTGATGGTAAGAAATTTCTGAGTCCTTGAATCAGGGGCTGAAAATGCTTACAGGGTCTGGGCGGCTAACATAAATGAATGAAAGGGGTGAGTTAAGAAAATCAACTGCAGTAATTTTTTTTCCTCTAAACTATGCTGTGGGTGGTTAACAATATAAACATGCAAAATACCGGAGTTTACATTTTAAGTTCAAAATTAAAAACACAAGTTAAAAATTGAAAAAATTGAATTACATTTTTGTGTCTGTGATTTCTTCTCTGACTTGGAACAGGAGATCTGATGCCTTTCTTATGCACCACGAGGTCAATGTTAGGTCATATTTCTGTGTTACAATGTGCAAGAAAGAATTTAGCCTTAAATCCTTATAATGATTAATTTTATCTTATTTCATAATGGAAAACATCTGTTTAGAAATGTAGACATTTCCAAACACAGACAGACGTTCTGCACAATGTTTTTTATATTTAGGGTTACTACTCCCGAGATATTCGCAGGATTTTGCTATTTCAATGACATCATGCTTCATTTTCAGTACCATGGCACAGTAATTCACTATCTCCACTCTAGCTATTCTTTCACACCATGAACATTAATTGAGAAAAATTAACTGAACTATATATTTGTTCATTTTCATAAAGTATGTCAGAGAGTCTTTTCTGGAATTTGATAGACAACTCTACAATTTGGGGAACGTAATTCAGGCCATCACAGTCATTTCTTGGAAACTAATTTCAGCAAAGGAAATTCAACCAGTTTATCTCCTGTCAAATGAGTTCCCCAAAGCCAGAATTTTGCTAGGAATGAGCAAATACAACCATACAGTTGTGAAGGTATTTCTGAACAACACTGCTTTTCTTCAAAGTGTCTAAATGAGTTGTAATGTCAGCCAAACAGGTCAAATATTTAATTTCAGTCTTTGCTGGTGTGCTGAATGCCTTTTGGATGCCAAATAAGTCATTTTTTCCCCAGTATATTCAGTACCATTCCTCATCTAGGTCAATTAATCTCCATAATAGGTCAGATCTCCATGACATTAACCTAATAATTTACCAAGCAAAGTATTCAATCTATGTTTGGAGCAAACCAGTGTTAATTACTAGTTCTTGGCATGATTCATTTTGAACATTTGTGCACAAAAGTGGAATTCTAATGAGTGATACAATGAATAGCTCCAAGTTTAAGTCCTTGTAAAGTGTTTCAGATTCAAACTGAAATTTCCTAAGTCCAACAGTAATACTATTGCAGAAGCACCATCTGTAGTCATAGTCACTAATTTTCACCAATCTATACTAAAAATTTCAAGACTTTTCTCAGCACACAAAATCCAAGTATTTCTGAATGTACCTGTCACAGGTAAGTCCAAAAGAATTAGACTGCATCAAAATTCTTAATGCATGAATTATATATCTAGGTGCAGAGGATCTCAAACTTTAGGGTGTATCATAATCAGCTGGAGGGCTTGTTAGATTGACAAGTCCCATCACCAGGTTCTGATTCAGTAGGTCCGGGCTAAGGCCGGACACTCTGCATTTCTAACTAGCTTCCAGGTAGTAGTGTTGTTGATCAGGGACCATACTTAGAGAACTACTGGCTAGGCACATAAGCTAAGTGTATAGTTACATGTATAGTGTTTATATCTGTTGTAACCAGCGTTAATCTGAAACGTCACAAATAATTTAACTTCTTGACCCAATTTGTCACATAAAAAATGTACAGGCATCAATCTTTAACATCCTGAGCAGCAGTACTTAACTACCTTTGCAAGTGCTTGTTTATGACATAAATTCCGCTGTACTCAAAAGATACTCTTTTCTGAAACAACTACCTATAAAAGGCTTTCAAGTCCTGGCAATTTTTTCATGTAATACATAATTGCATTTCATGGCAGTACTACTTAATTCTGTCTGTATTCGAAAACACAACCTATTGAAATTCCAAGCCCTTTTACAAGTTCTTTTTATTTCAGCACTCACCATTCTTGTATACTGGTCATATTTCTTACAACGGTTTATTTTTAAATGTTCTCTTAAATTGTAGTCTTTCAACAAATATATTTTATTTTGATATAAAGGAATACTCATCACTTCCACTAGGAAATAGGCTCTCTCTGATTTTCCTTTAAATATATGATCTTCTTGTATAGATCATTTTTTTTTCACTTTACGTGGGTATGAGAAATATTTCATGTTCTTCAAAACTACTATGAAAAAGTACAGGCACAACAATCAATGGTGTTTCAGTTATTGATTTCTGTGTAACAAATTACCCCCAAAACTTAAGTAGCTTTAAAAACACATTTATTTTCTCATAGTATCTGTGGGTGTGGCTTAACTGGGTCCTCTGGCTCAAGGTCTTTCACAGGCTGCAATCAAGGTGTCAGCCAGGGCTGCAGTCATCTCAAGGCTCGACTGGGGAAGGATCCGCTTCCAAGCTCACTCACATGGCTGTTGGCAGAATTCAGTTCTTTGTGGGTTGTGTTGGACTGAGGGCTTCAGTTCCTCACTGGCTGTTGGTTGGAGGCTGCCCTCAGTCCCTTCTTATGTGGGCCTCTCCATTGGGCAGCTCACAATATGGCAGCTTGCTTCATCAGAATGATCAAGCAAGAAGAGCCAGAGAGAGCAAGAGAGAGTGCAAACAAGATGGAAGTCCCAGTTTTTTATAACCTAATCTTGGAAGTGACATCTTATAACTTTTGCTTTAGCGTATTCATTAAAAGCTAATTACTAAGTCCAGCCCACACACAGGGGGTGGGGGTGGATTAAACAAGAGTGTGAATAGCAGGAGGCAGGAATCATTGGGAGCCATGCAGAAGATGGTTATTATGAAAGGCAAGTGGCACCTGGTCACTGTATCATTGAGACACCATGGAGTAGTAGAGACTCCAATAAATGAAGACCTTGTGGTTTAGCAAAATGGGGCAACCAGTGTTGCCAGAGGATCTGATATTTCAAGAGTGGTTGGCAAGTCAGAATTCTTGGTAATATTTCATAATTTTTAAAATATTGGCAACAAGTTCCTATTTGTTTAAAAAAAAGAAATACATTTATAAAATGCAAGTTAAATGATAAGAGGGAAATAAAAATCATTCAGCTACATGATGCCTAATATTCAATCCAAACCCACTATTTGACTTTCGATTCTGATGAACACTGTTTATCAGTGAAAATCAATGAAGTTTTTAAAAAAATGTGTGGGGCTATGGGCTGCCAGTTTGCCATCCTTGCCATAACCCTTGTAATTTCCTTTGTGGTATGGATGAAAAGTTTTGGTGTCTGATATGCAAATTGTGGTTCTGCCACTTCCAATATGTCTTTGGGCCTATGACAAGGGTCAGAGAAAAGATCCTCAGGGCTTGTACTGTTAGTATTTTCTTACTTGTCTCCCTTACTAGACTATGAGCTCCTGGAGGGTTAGGGTACCCCTCTGACCTCAACACTCCCTTATCTCACTTTCCTACTTCATCTTTCTCCACAGCACTTACTATACCACCTAAAATACTATATAGTCTTTTTAATCTTGTTTATTGTCTGTCCTTCCCACTAGAATATAAACTTCTTGAGGTCAGAAATCTCTTTTGGTCACTGCTTTATCTTCTCAATATTGAACTGTGCCTGGCAAACAGTAAGAGCCCAATAAGCATCTGCTGAATGAATGAATTCCACTGTTCATAGCACAGTGTTTGGCACAGAGTACGTGCTCAAAAAATGTTAATTAGACTGAAAAGCACTCATTGCCCTGTTAAGAAAAATGGGGTGAAATGAGGCCAGAGAATGGTAGGCAGATCATGAAGTATCCTGTATGCCATGCCATGCCATGCCAAGCTTAAAGCATGAGAGTGAAATGATCAATGTCCAACCTTCTTGGCACACAAGATATTCTGGTCAAAGTAATTGCAGCTACCATTTACATGGCATTTACCATGTGCCATATAATATTCTAAGCATCTTACTTATGTCAAATCATTTAACACTCACAATGAAGTCTGCGATGTAAGTCTTATTACTATCTACCTCTTCGAAATGAGGAAACTGAGGCACAAACAGGTTAATTTGCCCATGTTTTATATAACTAGTCAGTAAAAGAACAAGAATTTAAACCCAGGCAATGTGGCTCCAAGGTCTGTTCTCTTAACCATTACGCTACACAAATGAAATATAAGAAAAATGTTCTGGAAAAAGTTACTAAAATGCAACTATACTGTTTTGAGATACATTAAAGATGAAGGATTTTAATGTCAAATATATTTAGGTTCATATCTTGGCTCAACCACGTTCCAGAAGTGTAACCTTGGACCAGTGAGTATGCTAAGCCTGTTTTTACTTTAGCTATTAGAAAATGGAGATTAATACATATCCTGACAGGTGGTTGTGATGATTAAATGACAAAATGAATCTATGTGAGGTACCCAGCCCATGTGGTAGCCATTATTACTATCACCAAGGGGAATTTATTCTATAAATGCATTGCTAAGCAGCTACAAAACTTACTTTTATTTAACAGTTTGGCAATTCCATTTGGAATTGAGTTAATTTACATGGAATTAACATATAACATTATGAAACACTGGTTCTACATTCTTCCCTATCTGACTTTCAAAGTCTTCTACAGTCAGCCAGTCAATCAACAAATCTCTCTTTCAACAACCATTATTGTATATAACGTGTCAAGCCCTAGAGCAAATCTCTGCCCTCTTGGAACTCAAATGACAGATAATTATATACAAACTTCCAGTTATAAGTTCTGGGGATATAACACATAACATGGGGGGGAAAAGAAAATTATAATGTAATATGAAAATACTACAGGAGAAAAAATATGAGAGAGGTTAAAAAAAGAACACTCTGGTAGCACAAGGAAAGGCATCATTCATCTTGGCTGGGAAAGATTTCATAGTGATAACTGTTGAGCAAGAATAAATATCAATTTGCTATGTGAGGGTGAGCATTACATAAGAAAAGCACCATGTGAGAGGACATGGTATGCCTAGGAAACCAAAAAAGTTCAGAATAGTTGGGACATTCCAGTGGTTGGAACAGGTGTGGGCAAAGGTAAGCACCAAGTAAGTCTGGAGAGAGTCTGGTATCAGACTGTGAAAGGCACTGTCGGCCATGCTGAGAAGTCCGGACTTGGTAAGGTAGGCAAAAAGTAGCCAGTGGATATCCTCAGGCACACAACAAAGTCAGCTTTGGTTTTCAGGATGGCGTCTCTGACAGCAGTGTGGAAGATGGACCAGATGATGCCCAGATCTCCAGATCCAGATGTCCAGAGAGTGGTAAACGAACAAGTTGAGGCTATTTTCACAGTTTAGATAAGAAACGATGGCAGCCTGAACTATGGCAATGGGGGCGGAAGTGGCTGGACTCAGGAGACATTTCTGAGGTAGAGGTGACAGGATCTGGTGACCAAGGGAATATGGGAAGTGACAAGAAAGTGAAGAATTGCGGACTCCATAGTTTATGGCTCGAAATGGATGAAAGACAACATCTATAGAAAAAGAGAATACCAAAAGCAGAACAAGTTTTGGGGAAAATAATGAATTCCATTCTGGATATTTTTTAGTATAAATGACCTTAAGATATTGAGTAGTAGAGAGCTGAAAAGATGTGTCAAAAGCTCATGAGAGAGGTTAGGGGTCGAGAAAGAGCTATAGGAATCACCAGAATATTGTTAATACTTAAAGCCATAATAATTTAGGGTGACACTGCTCAGGAAATGAAAGGAGAAAAAAATGACTAGGACAGAGGCCTTGAGAGCGCCAAGGCTTAAGGAAGCAGTAAGAGAAGGAGGAATAACTTAGGAAAGAAGAAAGAACTAGAGACTTATAAGGAGAATCAGCAATGAGCAGAATTATGGAATTTAAGGAAGGAAGTTCAAGGAAAGGATGGCTCAATAGTGTCAGTATCTCCAAGAGGACCAAGGAAGGGTGAGAACGGAAATGGATGTGGCAGCTTCAGAATGGTCACATCACACACCAAGTTGCAACAAACTAGGGAATGGGGAATGAATGCAGTCTTTTATTTTTTTAAGATAATGGTTAAAAGGGAGGAACAGGAATAATGATAACGGCTTAAGGAAATTACAAAGTAAAGGAAAAGTTTTGGTTTTTTTTAAGGTTATTTGAGTATTATAAGTGAAGGAAACCAGAGGGGAAAGACTGAAAATGCAGAAAAGAGATTGCTACTTTTGAAGTCCTATAACTTCACTGTATGACTCACTCACTTGGCACTTAGCTTACACGTTTGCCTTGTACTGGCAGTACTGTACATTTAACAATGCTGACACAAACTAAGTGCTCATTAAATCTACTTATTATTGTTTTTTCTTCATGTATCTATGCATATTATCTGGCCAATAAAAGTGTACAATCTTACAAAAGAATGTACAAAAAGGAAACCGTGTGGTGGAATTGTGGAAAGAGACTGCGCAATACAGACCCAGAACAAAGATTTTTATCCACCACTTACTAGTTAGTGTCCAGACCAAAGAAAAATTATTTCACCTCTTTGCACCTCAGTTATTCAACTGATAAGTGGGAAGACTACTATGCATTCTTGCGAGCTTGTGAGTATTAAACAAGATATTTAAAAAGCACTTTCTATACAACTTGGTGCTTAAGAAGTAGTAATAGTTACTATTATGATTAGCATTATGATTTTTCCTACCACTAGTGCACCTAGAAGAGTCACTGACTTTTCAAGATGTGTCTATGACTGAGGATAAGTAAACAATCAAGAGGAATAGTAGTCATTGCTATACTGTATTCTAGAGAACAAAAGCACAAAACGGCATCAGCTCTTGATCAGACTTCTCAAATTTGGGTTATTCATTTACCATCAACATGATTTCTGCCATATCCAAGTACTGCCAAGTTAATACTTTTCTTTAAGTCAACGTACTTTTCTTTAATTGGCCCCATTCTAAAGAATTATAGCTGTGAAATTGCGAGTTTCATGTGTTGATTATCTTTTTTTCTAATATATACAATAACCATTAAAACAAAAGCATTCATCCCATTAACCACCCAACATCATCTCTCAAACCACATTCTAAAATTGCTTTAGGGTTGCCCTACTTCTGAGACCCTTAGGCAGAGATCAGGTAGCAATTTTTGGTTTTACTTAATTTTTCTCCTACTGGCAACTACCACTTACAAAGGTTGCAGAACATACAAATGAAACCAATCAAGTGACAAAATTTATCCCAGTAATATACACTGAATCTTCTCATGGGAAGTCCCAAGTTGTCTGAAGCTAAACAGACAACCCAGCAATTTATCTCTTAATCTCTCCACTTCTATTTTCTCTATCACAAATGAAAACGAGACTAGGAATAAAGGCCCATCTTGTGGCCTAGCCTCAAGAACAGAACCAAGGGGAGGAGAAATTCAGTGGTGGGTTTTGCTCTGAAGCACCAGCATTTCAGTCAGAAGAAATGGCAGGCATTCAGATCACGCAAGTGAAAAAACTTCAAGATAGTGCAATACGCGTCTGAAAAGGCAAACTACCATCAATTATGAACCAATACCTTTCAAATCTGTGTTATAAACCAGTAAGTTCTCCATCATTCCAACAACAGATCACTGACCAGAACCAGGAGAGAGAACTTCACTGATAACATCTGTAGATACTTTATGTACACAATTTTGGGCCAGTCTTAAATCTACTATATTAACAGCCACACTACACACGTTTTAACTCACTTCTACAATCCCTTCTGTTAAAATCACTAACCCCTTCATTCATGGGGAAAAAAATGTATCCTATACCTAAAATACACAAAATATTATGTAGAATATGAAAAGACCAAAGAGTTTATAATCTAGCAAAGGGAATAAGATTTCTGTATTTCCCCAACTGTAGTACTAATGACTGAAGAGGATTACTGGGAACTCTTTTCCCCAATATTTTATTATAAAAAATTTTAAACATACGGCAGAGCTGAAATGATTTCACAGTGAACAGGCAAATACCCACCACTGAGATTCTACCATTGTTATTGTACTTGCTTTATCACATATCAATCCATCTATCCAACCCATTTTATTTCTTGATGAACTGCTGGGATTTTGGGAAAAAGACTATGTATGATGAAAAATCTTGGCAGGCCCTATTAGGGTTGCCTCTCAAAAATGTTGACTGATGGGGTGCATGAACAAAAGTTTGAAAACCACAAACCTGTAAGCAGTGTTCAACTCTCCTGCCAAGCTCCAATCAAAATCTGTTCGGAGGTCCTAGCAGGACATATTAGGTCTCCACACCCTTGTCCACTATCTGGACCATCCTTCCCAGCCCTCTTTAAGGCTCAATACCCATCTCTGAAACCTCCCCCAACTTTCACCCAGAATTAACCATGCCCCTACAGGGGCCACTTTTTTTTATCATTAGCCATTAGCTCACAGTATCTGCCACTTTGTTTTCAGTCTCTTTTACTTAATTCTGACCTCCTTGAGGGCAGGGATCCCCTTATTTTCCTTTGGCACAGTATCTAGCCTAGAGCAGGCACTCAATAATTGAATAATATAAATGAATAGCTCAGACCTGTCTTTACCCAGGAGCCAGGGAAGATGTTTGATGCCTGTGGGAATGATTTAATCACACTGGCACTTTAGGAGATTCGTTTTAGAGAACTGCTGTCAAGAGCATGAGCTTGGGAGCCAGACTGCCTGGGCACAAATCCCAGAATACCAGCTCCGCCATTTATTGCTGTGTGACTTTTGGGCAAGTTTCTAAGCCTCCTGTGCCTCAGTTTCCTCATTTGAAAAATAGATAATACTGCTTCTCAGGTTATTGTGAGGATTAAATGAGATAACTGCTTTTTGTTAAAGCACATAGATTAGCAACTGGCACACAGTAAGCGTTTCATCAGTGTTAGTCATTGGTGCCAATAACCAGGTTAATGACAATGAGGTAAAATGCCCTTAAAGCGAGGGTGGCAGCAGTGAAAACAAGTGGAAAGAATGGCCATAAATGAAGACTCTACTGAGACATGCTCGGTCAGGAAGGCAAGCAAATGAGTGTCTGATACACTGTTATTTTTCTACTTTGTATGCTTGAGATAGCTCACAAGGGAATTTTTTAAAAACTACTAAAAACAGCTATAACCTACCCAGTTTAGGCACAGATTAGATGCTGGGCACAAGGAGGCTGGACTCCAGCCACAAGCTCTATAACCACTGCAAGTAGTTTTATGCAGGTCTTTCAGTCTCTCAGCTGAGATTTTATTTTTCCTCCTCATTACCCCACCCAGCACTATTTCTTTAGTTTATGATTCTCACAATTCCATGTTCCTGTCCTCTGTGAGCACATCACCAAGAGCCTTGGTTGGAGAATGGGTTTGCCGTTTCATCCTACCCAACCCTGTACCACTTTTCTTTTTCCTGCCTACCTCCTCTACTTCTCAAGCCTTGCTATTCCCTACACGTAGGAACTTGAAACCTAAGAGTATGGGAAAGCAACAGAGCAACAGCAGTTGTGCCAAGAACTGGGGATGCTGCCAAGCTGTTCCCCAGGACCCATATGCAGTGACCAACTACATGCAGAGATTGGATTGAACTGCCCATGGGGCCTCACATGCTAGATATTCCCATTTGCTTATGCTCGTTTTCCCTCTCCCACTTAAAGAAGCCTCTTCCAAAACCTGTAACCAATTCAAATCCAACTTATCCTTGAAACCCAGCTGAGGTTCAGCTTCTTCAAGGAAGCCTCCTCCGACCATTCTAACCCACAGATATTCTCCCTCCACAGACACACACCAAACAAGTACTATACTTACAATCTGTACCAGAAAGCTTAATCACACACATTTATATCATTAATAAATGTTTCATGTGTATATATTTGATATACTTGATTTGCCAAAGGCAGGAACCATGTCACACGTCTTTTAAACCCCTTACTCTCAATGGGTTAATATTTGTTGAAAAGTGACTGAATCAGTGGGTTTGGTTGGTTGTTTGCTAAAGAAGGATGAGGCAGAAACATGTTGAAATGAAAAAGGTTGAACGGACAGATGTTTGAAAAAGAAGCACTGGTTCAAAACGGGGGGAAAGTTGCAGAAGAAAGGTGTTCAATTAACATGTTTAATTGATTTGCTGCAAGGTTGGAAAGAGACATATAGAACAGAGATATCAACTGGGAAAAAGGTATTTCAGCTTGAGGCAGAAGACAGCAGGAGAAACATGGGGCTACAAAAGAAATTCTGCTAAAACCTAGGGATAGGCTAGTTGGGTAAGTAAAGGTAAAGGGAGTTATTGGGATGACATAGGTAGAGATGTGATTATGCAGGTGAGCGAATCAGTTAGGGGTGGTATGAAGGGTTGGATAGATGGATAAAATGACCAAGGGTAGTTGGGCAAGTGGGTTAGCTGATTGGGCGGTGAGTGGGTAGATGGGAGGCAGGTAAGTGGGTGGGTGGTTAGGTGTTTAGTTGGGAGGGAATAGGTGTGGGGCGTATTATTTAAGATCCGGCCCCTCCCTCACCTTGACCCGGAAGCGGATGAGTGCTAGCCTCACGCAGTGGCTCAGGCAGGCCGGTGGCAGGAACCAGGCCCGTGGAGGAGGGGTGCCCTTGTTGCCCACGTGTCCCACGATCAGTTGCGCTGTCTGCCGCTCAGCCTGGCACCGACGGCCCCACTCGGCCAGCCGGTCCTTGCCCAGGCCCCCGGGGAACATGACCACCAGCTCCAGGCCGTCGCCGCCGGGATAGGCACAAGCCTGACATAGCGCTGACAAGTAGCCCAGCATGGCGTTCCATTGGCCGCCACACACCCAATCCGTCTGGTAGCCGCCATAAAGCCGCGGGAGCGCCGAGCCCGCGTCCACCAGCACCCGGGCCCCGGGCAGCGGAGGGGGCGGCGGTGGCGGCGGCGGCGGCGGGTGCAGCCCGGGGTGCGCCTGGCCGTGGTGGTGGAAGTGGTGAGCGGGGTGATGGTGCCGCGTCGGCCCCGCGCCCCCGGAGTAGGAACCCAAGGCAGCGGGCGGGAGCGGTGGTTGCAGAGGCGCGGAGCCCCTGGCGGCGCGTGGAGCCCCGGGCGCTAGGGCTGCCGTAGGCGGCAGCTGGCGATGCTGGTGCTGCTGCTGCTGGCGCGAGACCGTGCGCGCGAGTTTGAGGAGGTCCACGGGGACCACGGCCCCGGGACAGCGCTTCTCCAGGAACTCTTGGAAGCCCTGGACGCCCATGCTTCGTCGGTGGGCAGACGAGACGGAGGCTGCGCGAGCAGGCTAGGCGGCGTTCTGGGCGCGAAGCTGGGGGCGGGCGCGTGCGCACTCCGCGGGGGGCGAGGGGGCGGGAAAAGGATTCCCGAGGGGAGGGGTGAGCGAGCGAGGGAATGAGGGCGGGGTGGGAAGGAGACCACAGGTTGGATTTGGGTGGAGAGGAAGGGTGAGGCCGACCGGACTCAGGAGAGGCTGGGAGGATAAAAGCGATGACGGGCTCTAGTCACTTCTCTTTTTTATCCCTCTCCGGCCGCTCTTCACCGCGTCAAAAGAGGTGAAGCCTCTTCCTTCCACCTCCGGGAGCCATGTTGCCTCGTCTTCTCTATGGTACACGCTTTCTAGCTGGAGGAGGGGGAGCTGGGCGGAGCGGCGGGGCATCCTGGGATTTGTAGTCTTCTCTGTGGCCTCAGGATATAGTGCTGTAACAAGATTACCAAGCCTGTCAACCCTTGCGTTCAGAATGTCTCAAGTGGCGGGGCGTGATATGCGTTTAAGTTTGCCCTCCACCTCTTTGCATCTACCGAGTTGCTTCAGGCTATTTACCGCCTTTCCAGGGAAAAGGAGGCCGAGGTGATGCATCATGGGAAAGGAAGCAGAGTGGATTAATTGAATTCAGCTAAAGTATGCTAAAATTCCCCAGGAGGAATTTTTCTGGGGGTGGGGGGAGAAGGATAATGTGCGTAGCTTTTAATGAATGAAAAGGACACATATGAAATGTAAAAATAATAACCACCACCATTTCTGTGGCAATACACTTAACTTTTAGCTACTGTCATTCTTTGAAGATAAGTTGTTGGTCCCAATTTATGAATGGTGAAACATATTATTTATTTGCCCAAGGCAATGCAGAAACACAGTGAAATCAAATATCCGTTGTACCCGGAATCTCTAGCCAGGGAGATAAGCACTGACACAAATTAAACTACAAGTTGAACCTTACTGGCACTCACTGAGCTACAACGTCCTATGGTTAGGACCCTTGTTCCCAAACCTCACTGTGAATCATTCTGTCGGGGAGCTCTCGCAGAATAGCGGTAAAAGCCCCCATTCCAGACTTACAGAATCAAAATCTTGAAAAATGTATTTTTCGGCATTCCGCTCAGTTGATTCTTACATAGCGCCAGTCTTCTGACTGGCTTTTAGGGTCCACTGCTTCAGCAAGATGAGGACAGAAAACAAGATCCATTCTGTTCTGTAACAGTGAGTAGCAGCCAGATCTGACTTGGAACTTAACGGAGGGTGGGAGACCACGGTAGGCCATGCTAGAACACAAAAGTGCAGAACCCAGGAGTAATGAAGGTGAATGAAGTCTGGTAACAGTGTATTAGGATGCAAAAGCTGAGAAAGCTTCAAGCTCCATAAAGAAATTTGTCATAAAAGAATAGCGGAGCTAGAATAAGCCAGACCGGCAAAGAATGAGTAGACGGTGAAGCTATGCACATAGATAAGGCTTTTGAAAACAGTGAAGGGAGAACAGTGGCTTGAAGGGATGGAGGATGGAAGGAATAGAGGTTTTCTAGTATAATGGATGCCTATTGGATTATCTGCTCAGCCCTCCTTTTCTAGGTACGACCCTCCCCCCATTTACAGTTACAGCAAAAACTGTCAGGTTAACCATAACCATGGCTGATTGGGTCAAAGGTAGACAACGAATCCAATATGGGTTGATCAGAATCTCATTCTCTAAAAATTGGGAATTGGACCAGAGAGATCCGTTTTTCTCTAAGTGTAAAACTTAGAAGCTCTCAGCACTCAGTTTTCCCAACAGAGGGACAGAAGTAAAAGATGCTGATCTGCAGGAAAAAAAAATGCACTCTCAGAGCAGAGATGGGAGACAGGGAGTCTTCATTGTGTTTAAGTCCCAGGTTCTAGATCATTCCTCAGGCATTCTTGTCCTTGGTTTCTCTGAGGCAACCTCATATCCTTACTATTTTTGTTTAAGAGAGTTGGATTAGAAACTGCTTATGACCAAAAAAAATATTAATTCAAGAACCGATTCCAGAAATGGGGTGTGGCAAATTACAGACCGTAAACTATGGAACTGGCAGAGATTGGAGATCTCCCATATCATTTATTTGAAGTTGATATTCTGTGTTATTTGGCAGTGAAGCAGTTTCTTATTGCTCTTGAGGCTCAAAAACAGAGCAGCCCTTCTGCCTGTATCAAGAGTTCAGCAATTGCTGGTGGTCAGATACTCACGGGCTTTGCTGACTTATAGCAGTAGAATTCTGTCTCACTTCAAATGTTTCACT